GTTGGTCACATGATATTCAATAGATGGTATATTGCACGGTCGTGCATTTTTGGTTATATGCGCCGTGCATTTTTGGTTATATGCAGACTGCGTACCTCTCTGCTGCATGTGCGCGTATCCCTGCGTGTATCTGACGCGAAGGCAATCTGCATGTAATCGAGAAGGCTTGACTCGAACTTTAATTTATCTTTATAAGGAGTAAAGCATAATTTGCTGATTAACGTTCTATTAGGTCTTCTTCGATGTTGTATAAAACAAATAATGAATGTTTTTCATTCGTTTAATAGTGCAAATATTTTCATTCGTTGAAAGATTAACGTTAATTCTATTCAACTCGGCTGACGCCTCGTTGAATAGAATGTTAATCTTTCAACTCATGAACATAATCGCACTATTGAACTCATAACCATTCATTATTTGTATAATAATATAGTATTAATGACTGCTTTGAGAGAAATAGTTGTTTTATTACGCTCAAGGGAAGGTTAGAATTGTGCTATTCCCCGAGGCTTGCCAAGGGGAATAGCCCAATTGTAACCTTCCCGAGAGCGTATGAAAACAACTATTTCTCGAATATTAAAGCAGTCATTAATACTTTTATATGCCGAAAAAAAATAGACTAAAAAATAAAAAATAAAAAATAATTTACATTTTTGTCGAAGACGGGATTCGAACCCTTGCGTACAACAAGAGGTGTATCGGAAACCAACGCTTAGACCACTCGGCTATCGCGCGACCTTAACATGCTTGGCAGTTTTTTCCCATATATACATTAAAATGGATTGAAAACTGCTCCGCGTGAGGGATGCTTCGCAAAAGCTCCATGAAACGGACCCTTCTTTTACTTTTGCAATGCATATTGGCACGAACTTAGATCAAGATCTATCGGCAGATGTTGTTTTTTTTGTTTTTGAGAGTTAATTTTCGTCTTCATGTCAACAATGCAAGATAAAATTGTCGGTAAGATCGATCGAGATTCAATTGTATTGAAATTGCCGACCAATTTTTCGCACACGTATGGTATCCTCCATCGCTCAAACCATTTTTTAACATGTAAACCTATGGGGTAACCATGGAGACTGACCTATTTTTTTAATAACCATGGTTATTAAAAATATTGAAATGTTTTATGCATGGTTACCGGGAATTTTACAGGAACAGTTGAAGTTTATGAATGCAATTCGACCAATCAGATGGCTGGATTTCTTAAGTGAGGTATATAATACGTCATAATAGGCCTAATTATGAATAATACAATTGTACAGTTTCCATTTACCCCCTTTGAACATGAATGTAGGAGGGGAGTTTTTACCATCTTTGATTTTGTAGAATTGGGACGAAAAACCGGCTTTTTTAAAAAAGAATTTGGGGAAGGAGTAGACATGCCCACATTTTACCATTAATTGTAAAAAAGTGGTTAGTACGTAAGATAAAATCGGCGTTATGTCATATCGTACCGTACGGCCCGCAAACGTTATGTTTAAAATTGATGTGTTCAGAAATTGGGGGTGAGGAGGGGGGGGGGGGGGGGGGGGGGGGGGAGGGGGTGGTGGTTTCTAAACAATATCCAATTATGGCCTTTATTTTGTCTATGCCTTTACCTGCATGAGGGTGTATTGAACGCAGAAGCAGTTGCCTATGTCTGTAGTAACCCCCGCTAGCTAAGGCACACATGAATAAGGACATGAAGATGGCGAACCTATTGTTGGAAGATATTAGAATATGAATATCATAAAAATGATAGGTCTAGTAATAATAATGATTATCACGATAATTATGATGATGTTAAAAAATAATAGCAATGGTGATGAAATTATTAGCAACAACAAAAACAATGTTATCAGCAGCAACAATGCTACTTCTACTGCTGCTGCCAGTAATACTACTACTACATGCTAAAGATGATGAGGATAATGATCTCGATGATGATGATGATGATGATAATGATGATAATACAGATAATAATAATAATGATAATAACAATAATGATAGTGATAATAATAATATAATAATAACAACAATAGAAATAATAATGATTCAACCAATTAATCAATTATAACCTTTATATCATTTCTGTATACAGACTACTCATTAATTGATTTGTCATTGATGGTAGAATATTGGGGTTTATGCGCGTACAATATGGTATAAGTATATAATGTTTATACTCACCAGAACCACCATAGAGTCTTTAGGCAACTATAATGGGTGACAATAATGGTAGAGAGAGAGAGAGAGAGAGATAGAGAGAAAGATGGAGAGAGAGAGAGAGAGAGAGAGAGAGAGATATGAAGATGGAAGAGAGAGAGAGATAGAGAGAGAAGCATATGTGATTTTACAATATTCAATGATCGTCGTTGCGGTTGAAATCGAGTCTAAAGTGACGAAATTGTAAATAATAAACTCTTTATATTGTATAGCTCCCTTTCAAGACTGATATTACTTTAGCTTTAAAACAATGTTTCTTGAATTAAATCGACCGATTTGATATTCCCGTTTAGAAATTATAATCATATCAGAACTGCATATTCTGAGATTATTTTTCATGGTCGCAGCTACCATGGAATGGAAAATATTTGAAATATAAATTTTGATTATTCAATTTCCCGAAAGCAGAAGTGTTTTAGGGTCTAGTGCTTATAACACATCCACAGGGGTATCCAAATATATCAACATTTTAAAGAATAATTACTATCCATCCAATTTTAGAAATTTCCAAAAAAACGTTGCATTACCTTTAATCCATCAAATAAAGGGACTGACTGGAAAATGACGCCAATTTTGCGTACATAATCAACATGTAGAACTACGAAATGTAAATACATCTTACAATTTGTACGATAATAAAGCATAATACTCTGAAATCATCAGATAAAAGGTACTCAAACTTATTACTTAAAATAATTGCATGCACTCGGGGGGGGGGGGCCCGTTTCATAAAACTTGTTATCTATAACAACTGCTAAATTTCTATAACAAATTTGCTCTCAGCCAATCACATGCCATGATTTCAGTAGCTTATAACGATTCCATGACATTTGCTCCGGCGACAATTGCTCCGCTGTAAATTTCATACACTAATCGAATGGCTAACTTCAACCCTGGATTCAACACTATACCCTACCCTAAACCTAACCCTAAACCTAACATAAAACCCTATTGAAACCCTAACCCTAACCCTACATCTTAGACGAAATAAAGCCCGGAGCAATTGTCGCAGGAGCAAATGTCGTGTCACCGCTTATAACAGTAGCTTGTTACTTGTTATTGATATCAAGTTTTATGAAACAGGGCCCAGCGCCTATATGAGGCTATAGTTCAGTAACTAATACCAGACGGCCAAGTTGATTAAATCGATTGATAAGTGTATGATGGTCATTCATATGAATACCAGCGAACCAATTAAGATGAATGTTATAGGTCACGTGACTCACTCGAAGCCATATTCGGAAATGGAGCATGTTTCGGCGTCTACGCTCTGGAAAAGAAAAAAGTTGCCAATATCAGAAATAATATAAAACATCATCAACCATGTTGCAAAAGGTTTGTATGATAGTTGGTATTAATAATGGCAATTGCTGATAATAACTTAATGAAACATGAAGGTCGAAAAATCAAGTTAACATGGTTGTCTGAAAATATTGCTACTTTGCAAATTTCATTTATTATACCTATCTGAGAAAAGTTTTAAAGTACAAAAATCTAAGGCTCAAAAGCTTAATGATACAAATAATTTAAAGCAATTGATAAATAGTGAGGCAATGACGTCACACACTGATAACCAAATTGGAAATTTGTGTAGTGATCTTTAAAGTTTTTCATACTTTAAAAAAATCATAACTTCCTTATATTAAGTTAGCCGATTTTACTCTAATTTTGGAAAGGGAGGGGGAGGGGTAAAGGTCTTATCGCATATCAATAGATAAGCAGACCTTACCGTGGATAAACAAATATAAAGAAGTAGACAATAATTCTGAGTTATTTTTATAAAGAATTGACTACCCCTACCCTCAAATATATTAGAATAATTGATTAAAAAGGGAGGATGAAGTAGAAATAATCATAATTACCTGTATATCTATCAGAATTCCAAGGAGTGAGATTATTACGACTTTCCACATTTTGCTTCTGTTTGCATGAAATTAGATGTAACTTGCGACCAGTTGTTCACAATGTAACTGTTTTGTTCTATATTCTGCTGGCAACGTAACATGGACTTCACACTTACGTTCTAATGAACACACCTTGCAATTTGATATCAAACACAACGAATGATCATTTCGTTGTCGCCGCTTACCTTATCAACAAATCAGAACAATTCTCCTTATTTGATATAATGATTATGAAATACAATAATGCAATATTGACAAATGCTTAGCAACATGATATCCAGATGGTAAACGAAAAACATAAACGAAGGGAAAATCCCACCCCTCTCCCTCTCTCCCCTTTCATAATATATACCCCCTAGATGGGAGAGAGAGAGAGAGAGAGAGAGAGAGGGGATGGAGAGAGAGAGAGAGAGAGAGAGAAATGGAGAGAGAGAGCGAGAGAAATGGGGGAGAGATAGAGATATGGAGAGAGAAAAGAGAGAGAGAGAGATAGAGAGAGATGGAGAGAGAAACGAGAGAGACAGAGTGAGAAAGAGAAAGACAGAGACAGAAAGAGAGCGGGAGGGAGAGGGGCGGGGATACAGGAAGGTGCCGAAAAGAAAGTTGGAATATTGAAGAACGGCAATATTGACAAATGCTTAGAAACATGATATTATCCAGATGGTAACGAAAACAATAAAAGAAGGGAAAATCCCACCCCTCTCCCTCTCTCCCCCTTTCAGCTTATATACCCCCAGTGCTCTATCTTCCTCCTCGTCGTCACACCCCTCTCCTCCTCTCCCCTCCCATCTTGCGCGTGTGTGTATGTGCGTTGATGCGTAAAGTAGTCTTTTAGGGTGCGTTCAATCGAATTTTCGAAGCTCCGTTACAAAAAACAAGGTCATTGCGGTTAGCGTTCAAGCGATTTTTCATCAACACTGATTCTAGCTCATTTCGAGCCCAGCCACTGCGCATCACCCTCGCAGTTTGACCCAGGAAGTATAAGTCAACTTCGGCGCGCGCTTTTTGGAATTGTTTACGGCCGACTGTCGACTGCTGTTTTGAGCATAGATCGCAATAATAAAACAAAGAATAAGAAGGTGATGGAAGGAAGAAACAAAAAATAATATAAGGAAAGACAAAAAGAGAAAGTGATAGAGTTATTAAACAAAGAATAACGTAAGAGAAGGTGATATAAGGAAGAAACAAAGAATGACATAAGGAAAGGCAGAAAGAGAAAGTGATAGAATGCTTAAAACAAAGAATTACATAAGAAAAGGTGATAGAAGTAAAAAACAAAGAATAACATAAGAATAGAAGGAAGAAACAAAGAATAACAAAAGAGAAAGTGATAGAATAATTATAAAAACAAAGAATAACATAATGAAAGACAAAAAGAGAATGTGATGCAAGGAAGAAACAAAGAATAACATAAGGAAAGACAGAAAGAGAAAGTGATAGAATGATTGAAACAAAGAATAACATAAGAGAAAGTGATAGAATTATAAAAACAAAGAATAACATAAGAGAAGGTGATAGAAGGAAAAACAAAGAATAACATAAGAATAAAAGGAAGAAACAAAGAAAAACATAAGGAAAGACAGAAAGAGAAAGTGATAGAATGATTAAAACAAAGAACCACATAAGAGAATGTGAGTGAAGGGAAAAAACAAAGATTAACATAAGAATAGAAGGAAAAAACAAAGAATAACAAAAGAGAAAGTGATAGAATTATAAAAACAAAGAATAACATAAGAGAAGGTGATAGAAGGAAAAACAAAGAATAACATAAGGAAAGACAGAAAGAGAAAGTGATAGAATGATTAAAAACAAAGAAGAACATTAGAGAATATAAGTGAAGGGAAAAAACAAAGATTAACATAAGAATAGAAAGAAGAAACAGAGAATAACAGAAGAGAAAGTGATAGAATTATAAAAACAAAGAATTACATAAGAAAAGCTGATAGAAGGAAAAGAACAAAGATTAACATAAGAATAGAAGGAAGAAACAAAGAATAACAAAAGAGAAAGTGATAGAATTATAAAAATAAAGAATAACATAAGAGAAGGTGAGAGAAGGAAAAAAACAAGGAATAACATAAGAATAGAAAGAAGAAACAAAGAATAACATAAGGAAAGACAGAAAGAGAAAAAGAGGAAAACAAGGTATAACATAACGGAACAGGCCACGATAAAGAGCATGGTATAGTAAACGCAAATTGCATGAAAAGCAGGCGCGCGGTTTTTGTCCAAACTGGAACAGGCTCCGTCATACAATCATGATTGAAAACTCCGTCCGTTCAATCGAATTTTAGTGACCGTGATTCTGCAGAATCATGATACAAAACGCATCTTTTTCAGCGTTTCATGTTTGTGTTTTCAAACACGTTTATTTTTACGACCGACGAAAAAATCGCTTGAACGCATTGCGTTTTAAACTAAACGTCTTTAGAAACCGTGATTCTAGGGTGAAAAAGTGTCGATTAAACGCATTAGCTAGCGTGGTAGTGCCTAGATGGACGAGCTCAAAACAAACTTTTTAATAAGCGAGTTCGTAATTGCATACTGCGCATGCGCCAAAATCGTCATTAGACCTCATTAGACAAATGAATTGTTATCATTACTATTAAGAAGTGGTATATTTTGTGAGTTTTCATAATCACAATCACAATCTAGGTTTTTAGGATATATTGAATTATGGTCAGCACTCGACTACGTTACTTCATTTTGTATACTCGATGAATTTCATCAATAATTTGAGACTTTATGTATGTATTTCTACATTGCAGATAATCCAAACCTTAAAAGGGAATTTAATTGCAAGACTGCCCCAGTGCGTTCACTATCCAACCCCCTCCCCCTCCCCACCCCATTCCGTCGCAATTATAGAAGGGGGGCTTGAGAGCTAAACTCCCCCAAATGTATATGTCTATACGTACATTTGTTTCTTCTTCTTCTAGAATGTCCCCTGCCCCCTCTCAAATTCGATTGCATAATAATTATTAATTGATAGTTTATTAGCTATCTATCATTTATATACTGTTATCTTTCTTTTCCGATTCTATGCAAATACATCTTTTTATGATGAAGGATACCAACCACAATTTGATTATTCCTTAATTCCTCCTCCTTCGTAATTTCATCGAGATCTATCAGTGCTTGTTGATGCGTGTCTCTCCTTTTCTCCGGTCTTTCGTGTTTTTTTTAAAACAATCAAAAGAACAGGTTCCAGGTTCGTGGACTATACTCCGCATGTTAGTAATGCTAGGAAAACGTCACTTACGGGGGTTCAAAATAGCAAAAGAAATGCTCCGTATCTTCATTGGGTCAAACCCCCTCCCTTGGCAAAAAGCTAGAGCCGCCCCTGGGATCAATATACCCAAAACAGTGAGACCACACTTATTTGTTCCCTCCGAGACATCAAGCAGCACCAGAGGCGGATCTAGGACTTGGTAAAGGGGGGGGGGGGGGTGGGGGTGTCGGGTCTAATCACTGTAACATTCTGACAAGCCCAAATAAAAAGTTAGTCATCATAATTTTAGGATGATACACAAAATATATATCTGACAAGCATCAATAAAAGAAAAGTTCGGGACAAAGTATAAACAGAAAAGGGGTGTGACCCTCTCCCATCCCATCCCCTCCACACACAGCCCGGTTGTACCTACCTATGAAATAGAATGAATGCTATGAATAAAAATTATCTTGGTGTGATTAAAGTTTGTGCCTAGAATAAATCGAACAGTTATAATGAGTTTTGGGAATAGCTTATATCTCCCTCGGTCCACCTACTGCCATCGTCTTTAATTAAAAGGTTAATGGAACAGGTTCCTATTAGTAATGTAGCCCATGGGGGTAAGGGGTAGGGATGGCGATGGGTGACGAGAGGAGAAAGGGTTCCCCATACCAAACTAAACGCCTTCTTTATCCTAAAAACAAAAGATTCGGTTGCTCCTTCAAGATTTGTTTTATGTGACAGTTATCATTTTTTCTACCATACTCATTAAAATGGAAATTAGTTATTAATCATTTGCGTTGGAAGATGTGGGCATTGGTCATATCTGGATTTTTTTTCTTCCGCAGATGAGTTTTCTTCTGATTTTTTTGTTTTCTTATGATACTTGTAAATGATGTACTCTGTATTATCGTGCATTCATTGTAATTTTTATTTAAAAAACCGTGAAATAAGCCTAGTATTATTTTTGACCTCATCGTTTAGCATTGCACCTGTCAGCAGATATTGATCACAGCGCAATGCAAATAAAAGAAGAGAATAACGAGCACTAGGAGGCATATACCCCAGACAGTCATCTGGTGTGACACCGAGTGACATAGATGTAAACAGGGTATAGATGAAAGGGTGAGAGGTAATGTAAACCATTAAAATCGGGGGAAATCCCACCCCTGTCCCTCTCTCTCCCCGACCCTTTCATCTCAGAGGCGTCGTGACGATGAGAAGAGCAAGATAGAGCACTAGGGGGTATATAAGATGAAAGCGTGTGAAAGGTAATGTAAACCATTAAAATTCATTTAAGGGAAAATCCCGCCCCTCTCCCTCTCTCCTCTGTCCTTTCATCTCAAAGGGGTTGTGACGACGAGAGAGAGGAAGATTCGTAAGGACCGCTATTCATAATCAAAGAAGAGGGTCCGTATTGACAAGAGGGTCGCTATTCATGATACAAATCGGGGTCCTTATTTATGAGGGTCCCTATTCATAATACTAAAAAAGGGTCGCTATTCATAGTACGAGAAGAGGGTTACTATATTTATAAAACGACGAGAGGGTCGCTATTCATAATAAGGGATTAGGGTCGCTATTCATTAGGGTCATTATTCATAATCGAAGAAGAGGGTCGTTATTCATAATAAGAGCAGAGGGTCGCTATTCATAATACGAAATGAGGGTGGCCATTCATAATTTAAGATTCAAGATTCAAGATTATTTTATCGGTATATGCATGCAAACATTACATAGAAATTTTGCTTCCAATGGCTCTTTTTAGAGTGAAAATACAAATGATAGAAAATACAATATAACATTTAACAATAGAAAACTATGTACATAAATATGGATAATTATTTATAGTGTGCATTGTGCCCCTCAATTTCCTATTGCCTACATTTAACATGCGTCATAAATTAAAATGTCTCATAAAATAATATAGTATTTCTCGTCAGCTCCCCCCCCCCCCATCCGCTAGCTCCCGATCCACAGATGGTTTTGGATTTTGCAGAAAATAACAGAAATAAATACATTTACATTCATATGTCATAATTATAAATGCGAGATATAATTATGGTAACACTTCTACAGTAAAATGAACTCTTAACGATTGAAGAAATCAAGTTAACAATTTACTGGCACAATCGTTTGAATAACATGCGTCATAAATTAAAATGTCTCATAATATGATATTTCATTAAAATGTCTCCTAATATAATATTTCCCGTCAGCTCCCCCCCCCCCCCATCCGCTAGATCCCGATCCACAGATGGTTTTGGATTTTGCAGAAAATAACAGGAATAAATACATTTACATTCATATTTCATAATTATAAATGCGAGATATAATTACGGTAACACTTCTACAGTAAAATGAACTCTTAACGATTGAAGAAATCAAGTTAACAATTTACCGGCACAATCGTATGAATAACATGCGTCATTAATTGAAATGTCTCATAATATGATATTTCATTTCCCGTCAGCTCCCCCCCCCCCCCCCATCCGCTAGCTCCCGATCCACAGTCTCCAGCTATCCGCTTAAAATTGCACTTCAATAGCAGCTATTGAAGTGCACTTAAACGGACAGCTATCAAAATCAACAATTTCAAATCCAGTAGGAAATATATGATTATAATAGGAGAAGAGGTCGCTATTCATAACACGATAAGAGGGTCGCTATTCATAAGACGAGAAGAGGGTCGCAACTTGTCGCTGGGGATATTTCATAATTCAAAATTCAAATTCAAATTCAAATTGTATTGATTAAAATTCTCTTTTTTTATAACATTGGATAACAAATTTTAAAAATATAGTGTAACATAAATAGGCTAATTGAGTGTGAGAGTAGAGATGACAATAACCAGGAATGACATCAATTTACCTACTTCTGCAGCATGTCTCTTCTGGAATATAATACAGGGATAAGAATACATTATTTCACTGGTAATCCTTTTTACAATTCTTTTTTCTTTCTTTCTCTTTTTTCTATTCAAATACAAAAAACAAAAAACAAAAAAGATATACGACATGACAGTATGACAACTTTTTATAGATATATGTCGGGTTCATCTCGATCTCGAAGGAGAGGTTGGTAATCATAGATCCATCCTGGGCCCATTATTATTTCTTATTTATATCAATGATATTTGTAATGTATCTAAAACTTTAAATCATACCTTATTTGCAGATGATACGAGTGTTTTCTTGTCTCATCGTGAAATCAACACTCTTGAACAGAAACTAAATTCGGAACTACCAAAGTTGACCTTATGGTTTATAAGTAATGTGCTCTCTCTCTCTCAATGTTCTTAAAACAAATTATATTCATTTTAGAGGTAGAAAATCTAATGACAACCTTGCTCTTAATATTAAACTAGATGATATTTCTTTAGAGAGAAAGACATGTACGAAATTCCTTGGTATCTATATCAATGAAAAACTTGACTGGAGCGACCATGTAAAACACATTGTTACACCAATCTCCAGAAATATTGGCGTACCGTATAGAATAAAATGTTTTGTTTCTGATAGAATATTACTTATGCTATATAATAGTCTAATTTTACCACACATCTCTTATTGTAATATTTTGTGGGCATCATCCAAGTGTGTGACTAATAATATTCTTCTGTTACAAAAGAAAGCTGTACGCATAATGTACCCGAGCTGGTTATCGTGACCATACTACCCCACTATTTGTTAAACTGAAATGCTTAAAGATTGATGATATAAACTTCCTCCAAATTGCCATATTTATGTTCCGTTTTAATATCAAATTATTACCTACGTCATTATCTTCAATGTTCCAACCCAATAACATGGTTCATTCGTATTCAACAAGGCAGTCATCGAATTTACATGTGGTCAATCCTCACACTACATTAGCTCAAAAATCAATCAGACACAGAGGTCCAGATGTATGGAATTCTTTACCTAATGATATTCGAAATATAAAATCAACAAACTCTTTTAAAAGAGCACTCAAATGTATTATCATTTCACAGATGTAAGATATTACTTACATTATAATCTATTTATCAGTTCTAATTAAATCTAACATAATTTTGTTACTAGGCTTAACGAAATTCTTTTTTTTCTTTCTTTTTTTAAAACTTTGTAAATAGTGTAAATAGTTCACTACAAAACTTTAGGAATTTTATTTGTCATATATTATATATTTGAAAGGTGTTGTAACGATTCAAGCTCTATTTGCTTATGTTTCATCACCTTTGTGTGTTCATTCTTCAAACTGTATATAAGTTGCAACTTGATTTTGATAAAACAATGTTATATTCTTTTTCACGTGAAGTTAATTCAAATGTATTGTAAAATTGAAAATGATTTGTCATCTTATATTAATGTTTAATGTGATGTTAACTTCAATGAATTGTGAAATTGTGAACATGCATAAATAAATAAATAAATAAATAGATTTATAGATTTATGATTACCATCCTCTCCTTCGAGATGATCCCGACAATAAGACCCTATTCCAAACTCACGGGAGACAGTGAGCATGGGATGACAATATATAATGCTTTTTACAATAAGAAAATAATTACCGTTGGTAAAGGTGATGGGACAAACTATCACTTCCGAGGCGATCTGGATGTAGCTATCTTTCCGAAGCGAATAGCGTATACATTCAGATCGCCAAGAAAGTGATAGTTTGCCATCGCCTGGAACCAAAAGGTGATTATTTGCTTTATATTCCACATCGGAAACATTTCACTTCTTCTGTCATTTTAGAGCAACAAATCATCAATTAACAGCTGCTAGCAAACGATGTACGATACGTATAGTGCATGCATTACTACGTTGTACGTATACGTATACGCAACGTTTATAAGAAAGTGCGTTGCACTGTGTAGATAGTAGGCCCTACTTCTATCTTCAGTGAAAGTGCATTGCACTGTGTAGATAGTTTATCTACACAGTGCAACGAACTTTTCTTCTCCCATCAATGACGGGCGAACTATCTTTCATCACGTGATTACTTTTTGACCAATAGTAGCGCAAGATAATTTGTATGTTGAATATAATACTAAATTCCATCATGAATAATAATATGTTGTTTAAAAAAAAATAATCCTGTTCTCAATGTGTATGTACACTCAAAACTTAAAGAGCTATAGCGATCCTCTAGAATACCGACCCTCTGCTCCTATTATGAATAGCTACCCTCATTTCGTATTATGATACTGAAGGAGGCAGGGCAATTAAGAAGCTTGTTTTGAGCTCGTCCATCCAGGCACTTCCACGCCAGAACACGTGCAACGAACAGTGCAACGAACTTTTCTTCTCCCATCAATGATGGGCGAACTATCTTTCATCACGTGATTTACTTTTTGACCAATAGTAGCACAAGATACTTTGTATGTTGAATATAATACTAAATTCCATCATGAATAATAATATGTTGTTTTTTTTAATTAAAAAAATAATAATCCTGTTCTCAATGTGTATGTACACTCAAAACTTAAAGTGCTATAGCGATCCTCTAGAATACCGACCCTCTTGCTCCTATTATGAATAGCTACCCTCATTTCGTATTATGATACTGAAGGAGGCAGGGCAATTAAAAAGCTTGTTTTGAGCTCGTCCATCCAGGCACTTACACGCCAGAACATGTGTGAAAAGAGTATAGCATCTACACGCGCGCAAGATGAAAGGGGGTGAGAGGGAGAGGGTGTGATGATGAGAGAGGGAGATAGAGCACTAGGGGGTATATAAGATGAAAGGGGGAGAGAGGGAGACGGGTGGGATTTCCCCTTCGTTTATGTTTTCCGTTTACCATCTGGATATCATGTTGCTAAGCATTTGTCAACATTGCACCATTGTATTTCATAATCATTATATCAAATAAGGAGAATTGTACTGACTTGCTTATAAGGTAAGCGGCGACAACGAAATGTTCATACGTTGTGTTTGATATAAAATTGCAAGTTGTGTTTTTCAGAAAGTGAGTGTGGAGTCCATGTTACGTTGCCAGCAGCATATATGAGAAACAGATACATTGTGAACAACCGATCGCAAGCTATATCTAAAATTTCATGCAAACAGAAGCAAAATGTGGAAAGCCGTAATAATCTCACTCCTTGGAATTCTGATAGCTATTCAGGTAATTATTATTATTTCTAATTCATCCTCCTTTTTTAATGAATTATTCTAATACCTTCTGAGGGTAGGGGTAGGCAGTTCTTTCTAACAATAACTCAGAATTATTTTCTACTTCTTTATATTTGTTTACCCACGGTAAGGTCTGCTTAATTATTGCTATGCGAATATATTGTCGGTTGCCCACAAAAAGAAAACCTTTAACCCCCCCCCTTACACAATTTGAGTAAAATTGGCTAACCTATAAGGAAGTTATGATTTATGAAGTATGAAAAACTATGGAACTTAGAAGATCACTACACAAATTGCCAATTTGTTTATCAGTTTGTGACGTCATCGCCTCACTAGTTATCAATTGCTTTATATATTTTTATCCCATTAATCTTATCCCCCAAAGCTTGATTCCCCCATGTATGCCTTTGCCCAGGTTATATGATTTGTATCATATTGCGTGCATAACATTTCACGAAATCTTTTATGAACTTTAAAGAATTGATACCATTTTCTGAATATTGTATATTCATAATCATTAATTTTCATATAAGGAGTTTATCAAATTTTGTTCATTTTTCAAATGAAAAAAAATTACTCCATATTAGTGCATCCACACAAAAACATATAAACTCGGATGCTGGTGTGAGGAAATAAGATTTTTAGGGAAAAAATTGGAAATTTATATTATCAATATAAAGAAAACAATTAGTGGATATTGAGGCAATGATGCCACAGACTCATAAGTGAGTTGCCAATTTGTCTTGTGTTTTTCAAAGTTTTTCCATAAAAAAGAAAGAAAAGTTTTTCATGTCATTAAAAATTCATATCATTCTTATTAGTTATCCGATTTTGTTCAAACCTTTTTTGATTGGTTTGTCTCATTTTTCAGCTCCTATTAAAAGTAATTTTATTGGATTGGACTTGCCCTTTAAGGTCCCTTTCAGCGTCATGGGCAGAAAGTAAAAAGGGGAAAGAAGATGCACATTCAACGTAGGTTACCCACCTCTTGTTCAGCGTGTAACGCGGGGGGGGGGGGGGGGGGGAGGTACTCACATATTAAGACATACGGGATGTGCCGCTCTAATTGTCCGCTTTTTCACGAAATATCCCCAAAAGTGGCTCCCATTTTTAACTAAAATATTACTAAACATGTGTCCGTTATTCTAAAATTTCCGAAATTAAAAAAATGTGAAAAATGTGCCTTTATTTCGAGACAATTCCCTCCAAATAGTGCCTTTTCTGCCAAAATGACCCTTAAAAATGGGTGGGGGTTTCGAGGCTTGAGCAGTACACCACCGTTTAAACCATATCTGAGTACCCCCCCCCCCCTCCCCGGATAAAGAGGGGGCAGTTCTGGAACAGAAATGTTTTTCAACTGTTATTGATCTACGATAAAAGCATATTTGTCTCGTATTTGACTTTTTGCTCCGTACATGGAAAGGAGCAAGAGGATGAAGGAGAATGGTAGAGGGGCTGGGTCGTAAGATACAATTCAAAAGTGAGTATATAGAGAGGGGATATGAAAGAAGTAAGAACGGGAGAGAAAGGATAGAGAAGCGGAGAGCGATCAGGTGGACGAAAAGGAAATGGGGCAATAAAGAGAGAGAGAGAGAGAGAGAGACAGAGAGAGACAGAGAGAGAGAAAAAAAAAACAGGTGGTAAAAGTAAGAAAGAACGACGTCATAAGAAAACGAATGGAGGAAGAGAACAAGAGAGGAAGAGAGACAGAAAGATGAGATTTTGTTTAATGAGGGCCACCAGAAACCTTGTTTTTTTTAGATTGTGAAATATACTTACCTATAACTGAAATCAATTAAGCTTTTGGACCCATCGATTTTTGTACTTCTAAATTATTCTCAGAGAAGGATCATAAAAGAAATATGCAAAGTAACTATATTTTCAGACGAGCATGTAATCTTGATTTTCGATCTTCATGTTTGACTAAGTTGCTATCTGTAATTGCCATTATTAATACCAATTATCATACAAACTTTTTGCAACATGGTCGATGATATTTTGTATTTTTTCTGATATTGTCAACTTTTTTCTTCTTCTTTTCCAGAGCGTAGACGCTATAACATGCCGATCCAGCTATGGGTCCTCTTACAGGTGAGTCACGTGACCTATATCAATCATCTTAATTGGTTCGCTGGTGGTCATTATGATTGACAATCATACTTTTATCGAGTTTGTACAGTGACCGGTATGCAAACAACTTCTATCCACCCATCTCTCTCTCTCTCTCTCGCTCGCTCTCTCTTTTTCCATCCCCCATCTCTCTCACTATCTCTCTTCCCCTCTCTCTCGTTCTATCCACCCATCTCTCTTATATATATATATATATATATATATATATATATATATATATATATATATATATCTCTCTCTCTCTCGTTCCATCCCCCAATCTCACTAACTTTCTCTCCCATTATTGTCACCCATTCTAGTTGCTCAAGTGGTCGGTACTGCTGTGGAACATCTAGCTGTTGCACTTACACCGACGAGTCGGATGGCCTCCTCAGTCTATGGTATTTATGGTGAGTATAAACAATACCAGTTTTACGTGCATAAACCAAAATATTCTAGAGTTTATTGCCAAATCAATTAATGACAGAAAATTATATAATGGTTATGATTGACTGATTGGTTGAAGAATTATTATTATTATCATTGTTTTTATTATTGTTAATATTATTATTATCATTTTTATTTTTATTGTTAGTATTATTATCAATATTATCATCATTATCATCGACATCATTATCCTCATCATCTTCTGTAGTAGTAGTAGTAGTAGTAGTAGTAGTAGTAGTAGTAGTAGTAGTAGAGTAGTAGTAGTAGTAGCATTGTTGATGCTGATAATGTTTTTTTTTGTTCTTAATAATGTCATCATCATTATCATGATCATCATTATCATTACTATCGTTATTATGATATTCATATTCTATGATTTTCCACCAATAGGGTCGGCATCGTCATATTATTCGTCATAATTTCCGGAGCTAGCGGGGCTTACTACAGACATAGGAAACGCATGCTCTTGCTTCGAACACACCCTGCCCCTACGGTGCAAGCTAGCGCTGTACAACAGACTATGGCGGTATCTGCTACAGGTAAAGGCAGAGACAAAATAAATGCAATGATTGGATTTTGTTTGGAAACCACCCCTCCCCCTTACCGCCCCCCCCCCCAAAAAAAAAAAAAAAAAAAAAAAAAATTATGAACACAACAACTTAAAACTTTACTTTTGCGGGCCGTATGATACGAAATGACACAATGCATCTTACCACTTTGTTACAATCAAATGGTAAAATGTGGGCATGGCTACGCCTAGCTTCCCCGTATTCTTTCCAATTCTTCTAAAGAAAAGATGGTATAAAACTGCCCTCCGACATTTATGTTTTTTGTTTTATGAAATGGAAACAAAGTTCTGTACACTTGTATTATTCATAATTAGGCCTATCATGTCGTATTGTAGCATATTATTTAGATGAAAACTTAACATTTCTAAAGGCTTTTCCACTTCTTCCCGAGAAATTGGAATAGTCTTGTACATGTATTTTCTTTTGAAGAATAATACATAACCTTTATGATTACAGTAAAATTTCGAACAAGCACTAATTTTCCTTGTATTATTTTCGGGTGTCTGAAAATTGCTTAATGCTTTGTATCCTTCTTTTCATCTCTCTTGCCCTACCTTTCAGCATCATCTGGTAATCCCGGTCATCCACCACCACCACCAGCCTACAACCAGGGCATTGACAACACCAAACCCAACATGGGGGTAGCTCCGAACCCCGCGGGGCCGAGTGTAGACCCTCCCGTCTAAAACCCCAACCCTAACCCCAACCCCAACCCCAACCCCAGCCAAGTGGTAACGGTTCAGGGCAACTGATATCATGTTAAACGCCCTCCCTCTTCTTTCCGTCCTTTCAAATGTTCAGTGCTTTCGGAATGTTATGCTATGTCTTTCATACCTCCACTGAAATCAACTTTAATATGTATTCTATTACGGCCATTTCTTGATTTGTATATGGAGTTATTGCGTTATAATCCAGAGTTATATTTTGATTTTTTTTTCCTTCAAATTAATTTGTCAATTTTGTGTGTTAATGTGCAAATCGCTACACGATCTAGAATTTTACCTGAAAGTTAGTTTCTTTTTCATTTTTATTTTCTTTGTTTTTATGAATTTTTGTAATGCTGCTTCATAGCGTGCAAAGAGAATACTGTAGTCAGGGAAATTTACCCTTACCTAATTTTTTGTCTGCAAATTTCGATTGGTTTCAGTTTTGTCTTTACATGTATATTGCAAAATAAGACCAAATACTCATGTCTTTCTCTGTTTTTATCATTCTTGAAACGGGCTCATGGATTGTTATACTAGTACTAGGAATTCCGGGCCCCTTCTAATAAAGAGTTGTGATTGACCCTAATCAATAGCAAGTTTGCAGTCCGCTATCTCTCATCTACATACTTAGTTGCAATTGATGTGAATCGCAAATAAGTTGCGATTAATATCAACTCTTTATAACACGGAGCCCTAGATTACTCTTCAAGTCAATTGATATGTCACGATTTTTTTTTTTTTTTTTGGGGGGGGGGGGTCAAATACAAGTGTGACGAGAACTCGTCTCTGGAATTCTTCTATTTTCTTGTAAACTTGGTTCATGTATATTACTGCAACGGCTGAAGACCATGCATGGTACAATCTTGGCAATGGTATGTATGTCATAGGAGTGAAAGTGCGTTTCTAGTCATCTTTTAGATTACAGACAACTTCCAGAATACGTTTCTTTAAAACTCATCATCAAATATATTATAAATGTTGATAAAACAAAGGAGCAAATACGGTAATTCAGTGATCAATTTTTTACATTGATTTTTACCAAGTTGTTTAATCTTTCAAATTGAAATGTTGAAAGAGATGGGCATCACTTTAGGCCCAAATTGTGTTTAGTAAAATCCTACGAAATGCTTCTTAGGTCTTGCTCAAATTATGCAAGGTTTACAACTCTTACTAGAAAAACCTGTTGTTGTTTGTAACATAATGCAGTAAAAAATTTGACGTTTGCGTTTATATAAATTTAGTTTTCGGTGTGTTCCAAGATTACTGTTGAAAAATTATTTTGTTATATTGTTAGTCGGTAATATCCTCCTACTCATTTTTCTGCAGAATTGTCATATGGTAGCATAACAATTGTACAACTCATTTGATATTCATTAATATTTTAGCTTATGTGAATTTTTGTTTCTAAGATGAATTGTATATAGATGAAATCATATACGGTAGCTTTAACATTGTACAACTCATTTGATATTCATATATTTGTTTGCTTGGGTGAATTCTTGTTTCTAAGATGAATTTTATAAAGATGAATTTGGTTTGACTTTATCACTATTCAGAATGGAATGTTTAAGTAGCATTTTTATATACCAGGAGCTTTCGAGTGCTATCTTTTGTATTTAATTATATCCTTCTTTGAATAAAAGTATAAACGAAATTTGTCCTTTTTCTGCACTGTTTGGCTTTGTTCTTAAAATATAAAATAAGATATAAAATGTATACATAGGCTACATGATAAGGGGAAAGAGAGCTACAACTGGTGAGGGAGGTAGAGAAAGAGAGGCAGAAACAAAAAGGAAAGAAATAGGTAGAGAGTGAGAGACAGAGATAGAGAAAAAGAGAGAGACAAACAGATATACAGACTGAGAGAGAGAGAGAGAGAGAGAGAGAGAGAGAGAGAGAGAGAGAGAGAGAGAGAGAGAGGCAGACATGGGCTTACATAGATGAGCGAGAGGGAAGACAGAAAGACAAAGAAGAGATTATTTACGAGTAATGAACATGAAAAGGGAAACTTAAAGAAAAGAAGAATGTTACAAAGTTGATTGAGGAAAGATAATTGCAGAAAAAGCAGAGGAAAATGGGTGGCGTGTATATGCATGAGAGAGAAAGAGAGAGAGAGAGAGAGAGAGAGAGAGAGCACTAGGGGGTATATAAGATAAAAGGGGGAGATAGGTAATGGAATCATCAAAGAAGGGGGAATCCCACCCTCTCCCTTTCTCCCCGACCCTTTCATCTCAGGGGGATTGTGACGATGAAAGAGGAAGATAAAGCACCTAGGTGGTATATAAGATGAAAGGGGGAGAGAGGTATTAAAATGGAATCATCAAAGAAGGGGAAATCCCTACCCCTCTCCCTCTCTCCCCCTTTCAACTCGGAGGGGGTGTGGCGACGAGAGAGGAAGATAGAGCACTAGGGGGTATATAATATTCAAGATTAAATATTCAAGATAATTTATTATCACGTGACTTTGGGAGAGGGGCTGGCTGTCGTTCTTGGACTGCAGCAGCCACAGCGTAAAAACAGCTGATCGAAGAAGGTTTTTGCATAGGAAGACCGCGCATGCGCATTACCAACTAAAACACGCCAAAACATCCCCTGTCGCCGGCTGGACCCGCCCCTGGTTAAAGGAAAATGTAACTGGAGCGATTATTGACGGTAGGCTTCACTAAAGCATTCGATGTTATTGATATTTTTTTAATGTTTAGAAAAATTGAACTTTGGTCCGTCGTTTCGAAAGTGGGTCGAGGTCGTTGTACGAACATATTGGCCCGAATTCACAAAGGAGGTTTGTTGGCAAACCTAGGTTTATGTGCGTCATATGGCGCGTTTCGACGCTTTTCAAACCAAGGTTTGTTTGACGCATATAAACCTAGGTGTTGTATCTCTGATCACATGTGTGCTCTGGTGGCCTAATTTGGACAAACACATTGAATCACTGGCAAGGAATTGTCACACTTGTCTCAGTATGAGGAGTCAACCCACGGAAATGGCCTTCAAGAGTTTGGGAGCGAGTTCATGCAGATTTTGCAGAGCTAGATGGCCAACATTTCTTTTTACTAGTTAATGTTTACTCCGAATGGATGGAAGTCTATCCAATGAGAACTACAAAAACTAGTGCTATGATTGATGTACTACGGCACATATTTGCTACCCACGGACTTGCTGAACACTTTGTATCAGATAATGGACCGCAATTCATTTCTGCACAGCTCGCCGAGTTCTTCAAGAAGAATGGGGTGGATCACATTCGAGTTCCACCTTATCATCCTTCTTCTACCGGAGCTGCTGAACGTTGCGTTCAAACCTTGAAGCAGAATCTGAAGGCATACACGGAGAGTAGTTTGACTACTCAACACTAGGTCTGTCGACAAACCTCCTTTGTGAATTCGGGCCATTAAGTTCATTGTAAATGGATGGAAATCAGAAACGTTTCCAGTCAAGAGAGGGAGACGTAAAGGATGTCCCCTCTCAACATTATTGTTTATTTTGGCAGCTGAATTTATGGATAATAGAGTTAGGAAAATAATATCATTCAGAAATTAAATTATGAGTGAGATAGTGATATTAAACTTGAATAATAAAGAAAATTTATATAACGAAATAATGAAATATTTTTTCTTTCTCGTAAGTGGAATACTCTTCTGCCTCATTTGTTATCTATATCTACACCCTCATCTCTCTCTGGCTTTCTCTTTCTCTGTCACTGTCTCTCACTCTCTACCTCTGCGTTTCCTTCTTTGTTTCTGTCTCTCTTTCTATACCTCCCTCACCAGTTGTAGCCCTTTTCCCCCTTATCATTTATGCATACATTTTAAATCACTTTTTCCTCTTTGCCTTGACATCATTACGATTCTTAGGACACAGCCAGACAATGCATACAAGACAAACTTCGTTTTCTCTTTTAATCAAAGAAGGACATTATTAAATACAAAAGATTGTAGTCGAAAGCTCCTGGTATTAAAAAATGCTACTTAAACATTCCATTCTGAATAGTGACAAAGTCAAACTAAATTTATCTACAATTCATTTAGAAACAGGAATGCACACGAGCATAAAAATATATGGATATCAAATGAGTTGTACAATTTTTAAAGCTACCATATGACAATTATGCAGACATATTATGAGTAGGAGGAACAAAACTGAGCATAACGCATACTTCGTAGGTTAGGGTATTTTTTGTGTATATGTGTGTGTGTATGTGTGTGTCTAGGAGGGGGTTGACCCTCCAATAAAATATGAATTTAAATTCTAATGATAAACATAATTATAATGATAATAATATGCAGAAGGGTAATATATTTCTAATTTTTGTTATTTTTTTCTCACTTTAATGTTGTGATAATTTGCATAGTTTTGATTTAATGGTTTAAAATAATCATTTTATCCATCTTAATTCTCAAAATAATAAATTGTTATCACTTAAAATTTAAGGAGAAAAACAACGACTAGACCGAAGACTACTCCTATCCGTGTCTCCTTGCGGAGACTACGGTTAGCAGCTAAACGGAGTGCGTTCATATTGTTCAACACAGCGTCCGTATGCGATATCGATATCAGTTTGGCTGCTAAAAAAAGGCTGCTAGCTTCTGCTTGGCACTAGGGGGTACATAAGATGAAAAGGGGAGAGAGGGAGACGGGTTAGCCTTTTGACAAGGCCTCGTTGACTCTGGCTAAGCGGCTGAGATGAGTCTAGATACCCGGAGTGAACGCGCGACCGAATGACGAATGTCACAGGTCTGGACAATTCGCACTGGCGTTCATTCAGGTTTTCGCGATTAGTCTCTTTTTAGTCGCTCGGCGTCTATCAGGCATGTGGCCTTGTTTAAAGGCTAGAGACGGGTGGGATTTCCCTTCTTTATGGTTTCTATTACCGTCTGGATATCATGTTGCTTAGCATTTGTCAACACTGCACCATTGTATTTCATAATCGTCATATCAGATAAGGAGAATTGTACTGACTTGCTTATCAGGTAAGCGGCGACAACGAAATGTTCATACGTTGTGTTTGATATCAAATTGCAAGTTGTGTTCTTCGGGACGTAAATGTGGAGTCCATGTAACCATGAACCTAATACAAATTGTAACGTTGCCAGCAACACATAGGAATAACAGTTAAATTGTGAACAACTGGTAGCAAGTTATATCTAAAATTTCATGCAAACAGAAGCAAAATGTGGAAAGTCGTAATAATCTCACTCCTTGGAATTCTGATAGCTATACAGGTAATTATAATTATTTTTAATTCATCCTCTTTTTTAATCAATTATTCTAATATTATTTGAGGGTAGGGGTAGTCAATTCTTTATAACAATATCTCAGAATTATTTTCTTCTTCTTTATATTTGTTTATCCACGGTAAGGTCTGCTTAACACTTATGTTATGACAGTTTTTAAAGTATGAAAAACTATGGAACTTAAAAGGTCACTACACAAATTACCAATTTGGTTATCAGTTTGTGACGTCTGTTATGTACTCTTACTTAAGGTACACAGATGAATACTCAAGACAGATAATAGCATACGTTTGATACTCGTGGTATAAGATTCCAAAGCAAGTATATTGCGCAAGGCACATGCGCAGCTTTACAATTGTGGGTCATCGTATGACGTCATCAATATATAACATCTCTCCCCCTTAGTTTTAAAGCCCCTTCTTAAAATTATAAGACAGTGATTGTAAGAACAAATATCGTAGGTATGAAATGATAGGTAATCCAAACTATGATTACCTCGAATACTAGCATTAAGCCATATGTCATGAACAGTTTGCAAATCCACTTTTTTAACAAGTTGAGTATACTTTTTTGTTGTACATTAACTTTATATCAAATGATTTCTATAGACTTGAAATTGACAAAATGAGTAAAGGCATCGATTCCTTTTATTGACTATTATTACAAATATGAAACAAGTGAGATATGGTTTATTAATTAGAATTAAAACATGATTAACAGTTTGCATCAGTCAAAATTTAATCAATTCCATAGTAATTTGGTTTTCTTCGCTCTCGTCTAGGGTAATCCTTTCTACCGGCATCGCGATTGACGTCGCGATTTTCGTCGAAGTCGTCTTCGCGGATGTCTGCTTGATCTTCGTGAATATCTTCGCGATCATTATTATCGTTATCAGAATTGATAACATCATCTTCATCGAGTGTAGGGACAACACCTTCGTTCGCGTAGTCTTGTTTCCGCGCGGTCGATGATGAGGAAACTCGACTTCGGAGTTGACATTGCTTCGGAGCTGACATTGACCACATGTGATACTGGACCGGTACGGTCGGTTATTTTACCGGGTAACCATTGGTTGCCTCGAGCATAATTTCTCACAAGGACGTCGTCGCCTACATTGAATTCACGAAGGGCGTGAGTAGTGTGAGCGATCTTTTGGGCGAACTGCTTTTTCTCTACGGTTGCGTTCACATCTGGCAGAACTGACGTAATGTGAATACGCAGTTTGCGATTCATTAGCAACTCTGCCGGTGATTGCTTTGTAGTAGCTTGCGGTGTTGTACGGTAACTTAACAGGAACCGCGATACCCTAGTGTGAACGGGACCACTCATTTTTCGGAGGGCTCCTTTCACGTTTGTTGGCTCTGGTGCCTTGGTGATTGCTTCCACCCTGTCCTCCATCGGATGTAGACCCTTCGCAGTATATGTATGGCCGAGGTAATCAACCTCGTCCTTGAGAGACGCACATTTATCCTTCTTCAAGCGTAACCCTGCTTCGCGAAGAACGTCCAATACCCGCTTCAGGTTCTTTAGATGTTCTTCCGTTGACTCTCCTGTGATGAGCAGGTCATCTAAGTAAACTGCCACGCCTGGAATGCCAGCCAGCAACGATTCCATAGTCCGCTGGAACACTGAGGGCGCTGTCGATACGCCAAATGGCAGTCGCTTGTAGCGGAAAAGTCCTCTGTGGGTATTGATGGTCACCAACTCCCTCGATTTCTCCGACAGGACCAATTGGTGATATGCGTGTGAGAGGTCCAGTTTTGAGAATTGCTTTCCGTTTGCGAGCCTCGCAAACAGTTCCTCTACTCGAGGTATAGGATAGGTGTCGGAACGAGCGGCTGAATTTATGGTTGTTTTGTAGTCGCCACAAACCCTGATTGATCCGTCTCCTTTTACTCCAGGAACTAGTGGAGCCGCCCAGTTCGATGTTCAAATATTGAACTGGTTCTATGATGTCATTCGCTAGCAGGCGATCCAGTTCCTCATCCAGCCTCTTTCGCAGTGCGAACGGCACTGGTCGGGCCTTTAGGAATCTCGGCGAAGCTCCTTCGTCGATATCCAGGTCAACTTCCACACCTTTCAACTTCCCGAGTTCTGGTGCGAACATATGGCACGCCACAGCCGTCATAATTGGTCGAGTTTACAAAAAAGCAGTCGACTTTACAAAAAAGCAATCGAGTTTCCAAAAAAGCAGTCGAGAAAAAAAAAAAGCAGTCGAGAAAAAAAAAAGCAGTCGAGAAAAAAAAAAAAAGCAGTCGAGAAAAAAAAAAAGCAGTCGAGAATAAAAAACTAGAAATTTAATTCGTCATGGGGACGAATTAGGTGGTCTGTCTTCAAGTCTTCTGATAGATTATAATATTTACTATATTGAGAAAGGGAGAAGTTATATAGACATGTAAACAATGATGATCATCATGATGATCATGATGATGATGATCTTGATAGTAATGGGGATGACGATGACACACATTTAAACATACGGGACTAGATCTAGGCCTACATTTACTAAAGTTGGACCCCGGCCCACTCTCATTACGTTGTATTATCAGCTTTATTCGTCATAAAAATGAATAAACACAAACTTTGGTTTCTTACCGTACAAATGATACTGGAGTGAAAGAAAATCACTGCAGAATAGCGGATTATGTACAAGATTAAGATGTTGCTTCGATAAGAATCCCGTTGTTTGCAACGGGACAGCTGATCACGGCGAAGGTAAAAATGTACTAGAATTATGTCCCGGCATGCTTTGCGATGAAACAACCGTGTAGGCTCGACGGCTTTTTTTATTTTTTATTCTCGACTGCTTTTTTGGAAACTCGATTGCTTTTTTTGTTAACTCGATTGCTTTTTTGTAAAGTCGATTGCTTTTTTGTAAAGTCGACTGCTTTTTTGTAAACTCGACCAATTATGACGGCTGTGGCGTGCCATACTTCTCACTCCAGTGTGAGAGCCACGTTTCTTCGTTTATTATGGTAACCGCTGAGCCAGTATTAACTTCCTTTCCTTTCACAGAAAGTTTCGTCATGTACGGCGGAGGTTTTGCTTTATTCACGGAATGTTGAAACAACCCGTATGTTTCGCTTTCCTCCTCCTCTTCCTCCTCTGCTATTTGATAGGTGCGGGACTTGTTGGAACTGGCCTGTTCCCGCTGCTGATAAGTGACTTTTCTTTGGTCCTTTTTCTTTCCCCTGGCTTTGCAAACCGCTACGTAGTGACCCTTTTTGCCGCAATGGAAACAGTCTCCATCTATCGCCGGACAGTCCGCGCCTTGTTTGTGGGGTCCTTCACCGCATCGACCACACCTAGAATGTTTCTCTGAAAACTGGCGTTGCGTTGGCATACGACGGCCACCAGCAAAAGCGATTTTGTTTACCATGTCGCTTCTCTGATTTTGTTCTCGTAGATCCGCCTTATTTTTTATCTGCCAACTCCATTGCCAAGGCGATGTCTTTTGCCCTCTCGAATGTTAATGTCGGCTCTGCCAATAATCGTCTCTGTATACGATCATCCGCCACCCCGCACACAATTCTATCTCTCAACATTTCATCCAAAATGGTGTCAAACTTACATTCGATTGCTACTCGTCGCAGCTCTGCAATATAAGTCGAAATTGATTCCTCCGGCTTTCTAGCACGACTGTTGAACTTGATCACCGATCAACAATCACCGAGGGCTTTGGATCCCGATGGTCAGTCATTAATTTAACAAGTTCTTGGAAGTCAACTTCCCCCGGGTTTCTTGGTGCTGTCAAACTTGACATCAACTTGTAGGTTGAAGCTCCACATACACTTAGTAAGATGGATCTCTTTCGTCCCCCATCCACGATGCTGTTGGCGTCGAAGTAGTGCCCCATACGTTCAATGTACTGGGGCCAACTCCCTTCGTCCTCCCGAAATTCACCAATTGTTCCGAAAGTAGCCATTCCTGGGTATCAAAGCTTTACCAAAAAGTAGAATAAAACACAAAGTTTATCCTCGTCGCCAAAATAGTTGTTATGTACTCTTACTTAAAGGGATCCGGTAACTTTGTCTCAGATTCTGAACAAAATTCTGGATTTAGCTCATGATGCAATGATAATTATAAACCTTTAGGTCAGTCAGGAACCCCAAGACTTTTACAAGCCGATCGCCTGTCTGATTATCAAGATATTTATGATTGGAATTACAAATTTTGAAAACCGTTCGCCTGACGGTTTTCATAACACTACGGTCTATTGGGGAAAACGAGTATGGTAAAACCGGTCACTCAAAGGTTTTTACTTTTTTTGAGGCACTTCTTGATCATTTTGAAGCGCAATTTTTTCAGGGCTTCAATATTACACCATATCACAGACACTGATAACACGTAGGGCCGTGTATCTCAGATTTAACATTGTTAAACGATCCCTTTAAGGTACACAGATGAATACTCAAGACAGATAATAGCACACGTTTGATACTCGTGGTATAAGATTCCAAAGCAAGTTTATTGCGCAAGGCGCATGCGCAGCTTTACAATAATGTGGGTCATCATATGACGTCATCAATATATAACAACGTCATTGCCTCACTATTTATCAATTGCTTTATATTATTTTATCCCATTAATTTTATCCCCCAAAACTAGATTTCCCCTTGCATGCCTTGGCCCAGGTAATATGATCTGTATCATAGTGCGTGCATGACATTTTGAAGAATTGATACTATTTTCTGAATATTATATATTTATGATCGTTAATTTTTTATATAAATAGTTTATCAAAATTCACAGTTTTCATGAATAAACTGAAACATATTACTGTATATGAGTGCATCCACACATAAACATATTACTATCGATTTAACTCGGATGCTGGTGTGAAGAAATAAGATTTAAGAGGCGGAAAATGGAAATTTAAATCATCAATATATAGAAAACAATTAGTAGATAGTGAGGCAATGACGTCACAGACTCATGAGTGAGCTGCCAATTTGTCTTGTGATTTTCAAAGTGATTTTCAATTAAAAGTTCATAACTTTCTTATTAGTTATCCGATTTTGCTCAAACCCTTTTTTATTGGTTTGTCTCATTTTCCTGCATCTATTGAAAGTAAGTTCTTTTTTGTAATGGACATGCGGGGAGGGAGGGGGTACTCACATACTAAGACATACGGGGGATATGCCGCTCTTTTTATTCCCCCTTTTCACACAAGAATCCCTGAAAATGGCTCTCATTTTTAACTAAAATATCACTAAACCTGTGTCTGTTTTTCCAAAATTTCCAAATCATGCAAACATCCCAAAATTGTGGAAAATGGGCCTTTATTTAGAGAAAAAAATCCCCCAAATGGTACTCTTTTCCCGCCAAATGACCCTTAAAATGGGTAGTGGTTAATAGAAAAAGTAGAGGAAAATGGATGGCGTGTATATGCATGAGAGAGAGAGAGAAACAGGTGGTAAAAGTAGGAAAAAAACGACGTCAAAAGAAAACGAATGGAGGAAGAGAACAAGAGAGGAAGAGAGACAGAAAGATGAGATTTTGTTTAATGAGGGACACCGGAAATCTTGTTTATTTTAGATTGTGAAATAAACTTACCCATCAGTTGAATGTTGAAACTTTAAGGTGATATTGGAAATCAATTAAGCTCCTGGACATCTCGATTTTTGTACTTCTAAATTATTCTTAGAGGAGTATCATAAAAGAAATATGCAAAGTAAGTATATTTTCAGACAAGCATGTAATCTTGATTTTCGATCTTCATGTTTGACTAAGTTGCTATCTGTAATTGCCATTATTAATACCAATTATCATACAAACTTTTTGCAACATGGTTGATGATATTTTGTATTTTTCTGATATTGTCAACTTTTTTCTTCTTCTTTTCCAGAGCGTAGACACATCATGCACCTATACCAGTTATGGCGTTAACTATTATTACAGGTGAGTCACGTGACCTTTACCAATCATCTAATTTGTTCGCTAGTAATCATGATTGACAATCATACACTTATCGAGTTTGTGCAATGACCGGTATGCAAACAACTTCTATCCACACATCTCTCTCTTTCTTTCTTTCTTCTCTCTCTCTCTCTCTCTCTCTCTCTCTCTCTTCTCTCTCTCTTCTCTCTCTCTCTTCTCTCTCTCTCTCTCTCTTCTCTCTCTCTCTCTCTCTCTCTCTCTCTCTCTCTCTCTCTCTCTCTCTCTCTCTATCTTTATATCTCTCTCTTTCTCTCTCTCGCTCTCTCTATTCCTATCCGCCCATCTCTCTCACTTTCTCTTCCATTATTGTCACCCATTCTAGTTGCTCAAGTAGTGAGTACTGCTGTTACACATCTGGCTGTTGCACCCCGCCGGTAAACTTCTACAGTCTATGGTATTTCTGGTGAGTATAAACATTCTTACTTATACCAGCTTGTACGTGCATGAACCCAAATATTCTAGAGTTTATAGTCAAATCAATTAATTAATGACAGAAAATGATATGAAGGTTATGATTGACTGATTGGTTGAAGAATTATTATTATTATCATTGTTTTTTGTTATTATTAATATTATTATTATTATTTTTATTATTATTATTATTGTTATTATCATCATCATCATTATTGTTATTGTTAGTACTGTTATTGATATTTTTCTTATCATTATTATTATTCTCATTATTACTAGTAATATCATCATTATTAGTAGTATTATCATCATTATCATCATCATCATCATCATCGACATCATTATCCTCATCATCTTCTGAAGTAGTAGTAGTAGTAGTAGTAGTAGTAGTAGTAGCATTGTTGCTGCTGATAATGTTGTTTTTTGTTCTTAATAATGTCATCACCATTGCTATGATTTTGTAACATCATCATCATTATCATTACTTTCATTATCATTACTATCATTATTACAATATTCATATTCTATGATTTTCCACCAATAGGTTGGGCATCGTCATATTCTTCGTCATATTTTCCGGACTTAGCGGGGCTTACTACAGACATAGCAAACGCATGCTCTTGCTTCGAACGCACCCTACCCCCATGGTGCAAGCTAGCGCTGTACAACAGACTATGGCGGTATCTGCTACAGGTAAAGGCAGAGACAAAATAAATGCAATGATTGGATTTTGTTTGGAAACCACCCCTCCCCCTTACGCCCCCCCCCCCCCCAAAAAAAAAAAAAAAAATTATGAACACAACAACTTAAAACTTTACTTTTGCGGGCCGTATGATACGAAATGACACAATGCATCTTACCACTTCGTTACAATCAAATGGTAAAATGTGGGCATGGCTACACCTAGCTTCCCCGTATTCTTTAAAATGAATTAGGGCCAGTTTTTCGTCCCAATTCTTCTAAATAAAAGATGGTATAAAACTGCCCTCCGACATTTATGTTTTTTTTTTCGTTTGAATGGAAACAAAGTTCTGTACACTTGTATTATTCATAATTAGGCCTATCATGACGTATTGTAGCATATTATTTAGATGAAAACTTAACATTTCTAAAGGCTTTTCCACTTCTTCCAGAGAAATTGGAATAGTCTTGTACATGTATTTTCTTTTGAAGAATAATACATAACCTTTATGATTACAGTAAAATTTCGAACAAGCACTAATTTTCCTTGTATTATTTTCGGGTGTCTGAAAATTGCTTAATGCTTTGTATCCTTCTTTTCATCTCTCTTGCCCTACCTTTCAGCATCATCTGGTAATCCCGGTCATCCACCACCACCACCAGCCTACAACCAGGGCATTGACAACACCAAACCTAACATGGGGGTAGCTCCGAACCCCTCGGGGCCCAGTGTAGACCCTCCCGTCTAAAACCCCAACCCTAACCCCAACCCCAATCCCGACACCAACCCCAACCCCAACCCTAACCCCAACCCCAACCCCAACCCCGACACCAACCCCCAACCCCAACCCCAACCAAGGGGTAGCGGTTCAGGTCAACTGATATCATGTTAAACGCCCCCCCCCCCTCTTCCTTCCGTCCATTCAAATTGTCAGTGCTTTCGGAATGTTATGCTATATGTCTTTCATACCTCCACTGAAATCAACCTTAATATGTATTACATTACGGCCATTTCTTGATTTGTATATGGAGCTATTGCGTTATAATCCAGAGTTATATTTTGTTTTTGTTTTCAAATTAATTTTTAAATTTTGTGTTTAAATGTGCAAATCGCTATACGATCTAGAATTATACCTGAAAGTTAGTTTCTTTTTCATTTTTATTTTCTTTGTTTTTATGAATTTTTGTAATGCTGCTTCATAGCGTGCAAAGAGAATACTGTAGTCAGGGAAAGTTACCCTTACTTAATTTTTGTCTGCAAATTTCGATTGGTTTCAGTTTTGTCTTTACATGTATATTGCAAAATAAGACCAAATACTCATGTCTTTCTCTGTTTTATAATTCTTGAAACGGGCTCATGGATTGTGATACTATAGTAGTAGGAATCCTGGGTCCGTCTTATAAAGAGTTGCGATTGATCCTAATCAATAGCAACTTTGCAGTCCGCTATCTCTCATCTACATACTTAGTTGCAATTGGTATATGAATCGCAAATAAGTTGCGATTAATATCAACTCTTTATATGAAAGACGGAGCCTTACTCGTCATATCAATATCATTTTTTTATTATTTTTTTTTTTTTTGGGGGGGGGGGGGGGGGTCAAATACGAATGTGATGAGAACTCGTCTCTGGAATTCTTCTATTTTCTTGTAAACTTGGTTCATGTATATTACTACAAGGGCTGAAGACCATGCATCGTACAATTTAAGCAATGATAATGATGTATGTCATAGGATTAAAAATGCCTTTCTAGTCATCTATTGGATTACAGACAACTTCCAGTATACGTTTCTTTAAAACTCATCATCAAATGTATATATCATAAATGTTGCGAAAACAAAGAAGCACATACGGTAATTCAGTGATCTATTTTTTACATTAATTTTCATCAAGTTGTTTAATATTTCAAATTGACATGTTGAAAGAGATGGGCATCACTTTAGTAAAATCCTACGAAATGCTTCTGAGGTCTTGCTCAAATTATGCAAGGATTGCGACTCTTACTAGTAAAACTATATGTTGTTTGTAACATAATAATAATACAATTTTTGACGTTTGCATTTGAATAAATTTAGTGTACAGTGTGTTCCAAAATTACTGTTGAAAAATTATTTTGTTATATTGTAAGTCGGTAATATCCTCCTACTCATTTTGCTGCAGAATTGTCATACGGTAGCTTTAACATTGTACAACTCATTTGATATTCGTATATTTGTTTGCTTGTGTGAATTCTTGTTTCTAAGATGAATTGTAAATTAATTTGGATTGACTTTGTCATTATTCAGAATGGGATGTTTAAGTAGCATTTTTATATACCAGGAGCTGTCGAGTGCAATCTTTTGTATTTAATAATATCCTTCTTTGACTAAAAGTAAAAACGAAATTTGTCTTTTTTCTGCACTGATCGGCTTTGTTCTTAAAATATGAAATAAGATATAAAATGTATACATATGCTACACGATAAGGAGAAAGAGAGCTACAACTGGTGAGGGAGGTAGAGAAAGAGAGACAGAAACAAAGAAGGAAAGACATATGTAGAGAGTGAGAGACAGAGATAGAGAAAGAGAGGGAGAGAGAGAGAGAGAGAGAGAGAAACAGACAGACAGAGAAAGAGAGAAAGAGAGAGAGAGAGAGAGAGAGAGAGAGAGAGAGCGCGAGGCAGACATAGTCTGACATAGATAAGCGGGGGAAGACAGAAAGACAAAGGAGAGAAATATGGAGAGTATGAACATGAAAAAGGAAACTTAAAGAAAAGAAGAATGTTACAAAGATGATTGAGGAAAGATAATTACAGAAAAAAGCAGAGAAAAATGGGTGGCGTGTATATGCATGAGAGAGAAAGAGAGAGAGAGAGAGAGAGAGAGAGAGAGAGAGAGAGGGGGAGGGAGAGAGAGCACTAGGGGCATATAAGATAAAAGGGGGAGATAGGTAATGGAATCATCAAAGAAGGGGGAATCCCACCCTCTCCCTTTCTCCCCGACCCTTTCATCTCAGAGGGATTGTGACGATGAGAGAGGAAGATTTAGCACCTAGGTGGTATATAATATGAAAGGGGGAGAGAGGTATTAAAATGGAATCATCAAAGAAGGGGAAATCCCTACCCCTCTCCCTCTCTCCCCCTTTCATCTCGGAGGGGGTGTGGCGACGAGAGAGGAAGATAGAGCACTAGGGGGTATATGATATTCAAGATTAAATATTCAAGATAATTTATTATCACTTGACTTTGGGAGAGGGGCTGGCTGTCGTTCTTGGACTGCAGCAGGCACAGCGTAAAAACGGCTGATCGAAGAAGGATTTTGCATAGGAAGACCGCGCATGCGCATTACCAACTAAAACACGCCAACACATCCCTGGACACGCCCCTGGTTGAAGGAAAATGTAACTGGAGCGATTATTGATGGTAGACTTCACTAAAGCATTCGATGTTATTGATATGTTTTTTGTTTTTTTTAATGTTTAGAAAAATTGAACTTTGGTCCGTCGTTTCGAAAGTGGGTCGAGGTCGTTGTACGAACATATTGGCCCGAATTCACAAAGGAGGTTTGTTGACAAACCTAGGTTTATGTGCGTCATATGGCGCGTTTCGACGCTTTTCAAACCAAGGTTTGTATGACGCACATAAATCTAGGTCTGTCGACAAACCTCCTTTGTGAATTCGGGCCAATATGTTCAGTCATTGTAAATGGATGGATATCAGAAACGTTCCCAGTCAAGAGAGGGAGACGTCAAGGATGTCCCCTCTCAACATCATTGTTTTATTTTGGCAGCTGAATTTATGGCTGAGAGAGTTAGGAAAATATATCATTCAGGAATTAAATAATACGTGAGAAAGTGATATCAAACTTAAATAAAAAAAGAAAATTCATATGACGAAAAAATGGAATGTATTTTCTTTTTCGTGTGTGGAATACTTTTCTGTCTCATTTGTTATCTATATCTAAACCCGCATCTCTCTCTCTCTCTCTTTCTCTATCTCTGTATGTCACTCTCTACCTCTGTATTTCCTTCTTTGTTTATGTCTCTCTTTCTCTACCTCCCTCACCAGTTATAGCTCTCTTTCCCCTCATCATTTATGCATACATTTGTTTTCATTTCCCCCTCTTTGCCTTGACATCATTACGATTCTAAGTACACAGCCCAAAATGCATAAAGGACAAACTTCGTTTTTCTTTTTCATCAAAGTAGGATATTATTATTTACAAAAGATTGCACTCGAAAGCTCCTGGTATATAAAAATGATACTCAAACATTCCATTCTGAATAGTGACAAAGTCAAACCAAATTCATCTACAATTCATTTAGAAACAGGAATGCACACGAGCATAAAAATATATGGATATCAAATGAGTTGTACAATTTTTAAAGCTACCATATGACAACTATGCAGACATATTATGAGTAGGAGGATATTACCGAATAATAGTATAACAAAATAATTTTTCAACAGTAATCTTGGAACACACTTGCACTGTAAACTAAATGTATATAAACGCAAATGTCAACATTTCACTGCATTATGTTACAAAACAACATAAGTAAGAGTCGTAAACCTAGCATATTTTGAGCAAGGCCTCAGAAGCATTTCGTAGGATTTTACTAAACACAATTTTGGTCTAAAGTGATGCCCATCTCTTTCAACATGTCAATGTGAAATATTAAACAACTTGGTGAAAATTAATGTAAAAACTTGATCACTGTCTGAATGACCTTATGTGCTTCTTTTTTCGCAACATTTACAATATCATTGCATGATGAATTTTAAGGAAACGGATTTTGGAAGTTGTCTGTAATCTTAAAGATGACTAGAAACGCAATTTTACTCCTATGACATATATCATTACTATTGCCAAGATTGTACCATGCATGGTCTTCAGCCGTTGCAGTAATATAAACCAAGTTTACAAGAAAATAGAAAATTATTAAAGGCAACTTTTTATCATACACGTATTTGATCCCCCTCTCTTAATAGTGTTTCATCAATTGATATGATGCATAATCCAGGATTCCGTCTCATAAAGTTGATATTAATCGCAACTTATTTGCGATTCACAGCGGACTGCAAACTTGCTACTGATTAGGATCAATCGCAACTCTTTATAAGACGGGCCCAGGATTCCTACAATCCATGAACCCGTTTCAAGAATAATAAAAATAGAGAAAGACCTCAATGTTTTGCAATATATAGACAAAATCAAAATCAATCCGAATTTGCCGAAACAAAAATTGAGTGATTCCCCTGAATCTTCCCTGACTACACTTCTCTTTGCACTCCATGTAGCAGCATGTAGGCCTAATAGATTTGTTTTGCACTGTATTCATCAAAATATAAAGCAAACCAAATAAAAAAAAAAGTAACTCACTTTCAGGTACATGTATTAATTCTAACTCGTATAGCGATTAGTATATTTACACATAATTATTATTGAAACTTGAGAAAATATAATGCTTGATTATGACGCAATAACTCCATATATACAACTTAAGACTGAAATCAATAAGGTTAAATTCTAATTGAGGTATAAAAGACAAAGCATACTGTTCGAAAGCACTAAAACGTGAATGGAAGAAGGGAAGATGTTCGAAAAGATAAAGGCAAAGAGGGAAGAGTGAAAAGGGCCGTTAAGTTTGCAGCGTCGCAGATAATGCCTGTTGTAAGACAGTGACATTTTACAAAAGATAAATATGAAATGAAAGGTGGAAAATTGCGTAAGATTCATGTTTTGTCTCTCTGTAGTGTCAGGAATGGAATTTGATGGAGACGAAGCTAAATGTTTGTCCCTCCATGTTGAATTTTTTAAAACGTTAACGCATTGTTTTGTATGTTCTTATTGTCATTCATCGAATTGTGGAAAGAATAAATTGAATTAGATCGAATTGTTGCAGACATGTTTGTAATTATCATGGCTCCTTGTTCCCGGCTCCGTTCTCCGAGCAGAGAAGCTGGAGATTACTGCAGCATTAACTATCTATTACATTTCATTGGCGTACGGTATGAGATGATGAAGCGGATTCAATCAAATGATTGGTTGAGAGCGTAAACGTGATTAGGCATTAATTTTACCTAACACGTAATTTGACTAATGACCGGTCATTAGTAACATCGTGTTGTAAAAGACAATTTTATAAAACAAATAAAACACCATCTTAAAAAGCAAATAATACACATCGTTTTGTTCGGGCATTAGTAAAATTACCTACACTCGGTTCCTTCAAAACAGTCCAAACAACTTCGGCTATCACCTCGGGCGTGTTAGACTGTTCCAAAGGTACCTTGTATGGGTATTTCTTTCTACTAATGCCCTCAATGCTGTGAAATATTTGGATATTATCATGGTTATTAACGCAATCGAATTGACGTCCCGCGTGCAACAGGCTTACCCTTAAGGGTATCAGGAAAATCATGGACGCGATATCAGTAGTGAACCGCTCCCCCTTGTGGGTTGTTGTAGTTGACGGGAGGGGCTGCATTGTGCCCCATGGGGTACGGTGCTGCCCCCATGTTGGGTCCGGTGTTGGGTCCGGTGTTGGCTATCACCTGGTTATAGGTTGGTGGTGGTTGTGGATAGCCTGGTGGTGGTTGTGCATAGCCGGGTGGTGGTTGCGGATAGCCGGAATAACCGGACGATGCTGAAAGGAAGAACAAGGAGATGACAAGAATGATATAAAAATGGATTAAGCAATTTCAGACACCCGAAAATAATACAAGGAAAATTAGTGCTTGTTTGAAAATTTACTGTGTACAATTCTTCAAAAGAAGATACATGTACATGTAAACGACTATTCCCATTTCCCTTTAAGGAGTGAAAAGCCTATAGAAATAATCGGTTTACTTTTGCAGAAGATGTTATAATATGTCACGAATGGCCGAATTATTTATAATACAATTGTACAGTTGTTTCCATTCACCCTAGCTCCCCTCTCCTCAACAACAAAAATCATGAATGTACGAGAGGGTTTTATACCATCTATGAATTTGTAGAATGGGGACGAAATACCTTAAGTCATTTTAAAGAATACAGGGATAGAGTAGGCATGCCCACATTTTGACCATTAATTGTTAACAAGTGGTAAGTAGTAAGATAAAGTCGGCATTGTGTCATGTCGTATCATACGGCCCGCACAAATTGTGTTTACAATATTTGTGTTCAGAATTTCGCGGGTGGGGGTGGGGGGGGGGGGGGGGGAGGAGAGGGGTTTCTAATGCATTTATTTTGTCTATGCCCTTACCTGTAGTAGATACCATCATGGTCTGACCGCTAGGTTGCACCGTGGGGGCAGGGTGCGTTCGAATCATGATCGTGCGTTGCCTTTTTCTGTAGTAAGCTCCGCTAGCTCCGGAACATAAGGTGAAGAAGAGGATGATGCAGAACCTGTTATAGGTGGAAGTTATTATAATATGATTATCATAATAATAATGGTACTTTGATCATGATGTTTAAAGATAGTAGCAATGGTGATGTAATTATTAACAACAACAACAACAACATTATCAGCATCAAAAGTGCTACTACTACCACTTGTAAAGATGATGAGGATTTGATGTCAATGATGATGATAAAGATGATGAGACTAATGATAATAATGATAATGATTATAATAATTATAATAATAATATAATAATAATAATTATTCAACCAATCAATCAATTTTACCTTGTTTTTAATATCAATTTCTGTTCACCGAGTTCCCATTATTTTAGTTTGATAATAACGCTAGAACACTTGGGTTTATGCACGTAGAAGCTGGTAGAAGTAATAATGTATATTCTCACCAGAAATACCATAGACTGTAGACGCTCCCCGACGAGGAACTGCGATAGCAACAGCTAGATGTTCCACAGCAGTACTGACTACTTAGGCACCTAGAATGGGTGACAATAATGGGAGAGAGAGAGAGTGAGAGAGATTGGAGGATAGAACGAGAGAGAGAGAGAGAGAGAGAGAGAGAGTGAGAAAGAAAGAAATGGACAGAGAGAGAAAGACAGACAGACAAAAAGAAAGAGAGAGAGAGAGAGAGAGAGAGAGAGAGAGAGAAAGGGTGGCAGGGGATACAGGATGGTGCCGAACAGAAAGTGAAAAGACCACAAACAAGCCAAATATATCAACATATAGAAATGACGATTTCTTGAATTAAAAAAAAAGTAAGAAAGGGGATCGGTTTTCAAATTCATCAAAAAAAGGGACTCACAGACTAGAAAATGCCGCAAATTTTGCGTATATAATCGTCACGTAGAACGACGAAATGTAAATGGATGATCTTACGATTTGTATGATGGAAAAACACATATTCTGAAATCATCGGAAAAAAGGTACTCAAAATTATGACTTAGATTATCTCCTGCTGCTATATATGAGCCTGTATGTCAGCTTTTTTTAAAAATTATTGTTTCGTTACCGTCAGTAACTAATGACTGTGTTCGTTATGCTAGCAATATCAGACGGCCAAGTTGAGCGAATGCATTGTTTACATAGCGGTCACTGCACAAACTCGATAAGTGCATGGTTGTCAATCATATGATTATCAGCGAACCAATTAAGATGATTGGTATAGGTCACGTGACTCACCTGTAATAGGTCGTATAGCCATATCCGTAATTATAATAGGAACATGATATGGCGTCTACGCTCTGGAAAAGAAGAAGGAAAAAAGTTGACAATATCAGAAATATTATAAAACATCATCAATCACGTTGCAGAAAATGTGTATGATAATTGGTGTTGATAATGGCAATTGCAGATAGCCGCCTAGTCAAACATGTTAATAAAACAAAATCAAGATTACATGCTTGTCTGAAAATTATAGTTTCTTTACGTATTTTTATGATTATACTCCTCGAAATTTTGAAGTACAATAATCAATAGGCCCAAAGATACAATCGATTTCCTATATGACCTTATTTTTTCAACAACAAACCTATAAGTGAGTATATTTCATAATCTAAATATTCAAGGTTGCCGGTGTCCCTCTATATTGAAATCTCATCTTTCTGTCTCTGTCTCGTCCTCTTCCTCTCCTTTTCTCTTCCAACATTCGTTTTCTTTTGACGTCGTTCTTTCTTTCTTTTATCAACTGTTCTCTCTTTCTCTCTCTCTCTCTCTCTCTCTCTCTCCCTTTCCCTCTCCCTATCGCCCCATTTCCCCTTCTCTAACCTTTCTCTCCCGTTCTTACTTCTTTCATACCCCCCCCCCTCTTTCTCTCTCTCTCTCTCTCTCTACTCACTTTTTGGATTGTACCTTACAACCCAGCCCCTATACCATTCACCCTCGCCCTCTTGCTCCTTTTCATGTACGGAGCAAAAAGTCAACATGCGAGACAAATATGCTTTTATCGTAGATCAATACAGCTTCAGTGTGAGTTGAAAACCATGTCGGATCCAAAACTGTCCCCTCTTAATCGTAACACACTGAGAATGAAATGGTTAACCGTGAGCGTACATCTTCCCCCCTTTTCTTTCATTTGGCCCATTTTTCTTTACGGTATGCACATGACGCTTAAAGTGACCTTAATTGTGCGTTATTTTCACACCCCGTTAAATCTATCGATTTTTCATGTACAAGGAGTTGGTGGGGGAAAAACATCCGCTGTTGTACACATAACTACTGCCATGATCGTGACTCTATAGGAATATGCACGATATAAACATGTGCATTAACAAATAATCTCCATGCATGTTTACTACTGCATTTTTTCGACTAGTAAATCAAAATGTGGGATGCAAAAGAAAGGATGGTGTGTGTGTGTGCGGGGGGGGATAATGGTCTTCTTGTGGGCATATGACGATATTTTCGCATAGCAATAATTAAGCAGACCTTACCATGGGTAAACATTTATAAAGAAGTAGACAATAAATTCTGAGTTATTGTTAGAAAAAACTGTTTACCCCTACCCTCAAAATATATTAGAATCATTTATTAAAAAGGAGGATGAATTAGAAGTAATCATAATTACCTGTACATCTATCAGAATTCCAAGGAGTGAGATTATTATAGCTGTCCACATTTTGCTTCTGTTTGCAGTTTAAGAAATTAGATATAAATGACGATCATTTGTTCACAATGTACTTGTTGCTCGTATGCTGCTGGCAATGTAACACGGAAGGCTTCACATTCACGGTCTAAAGAACACTCATAAATAACGGTATGAATACACAACTTGCACTTTGATATCAAACACAACGTGTACAGCGCGATGTATGTACAAGTCGTTGTCGACGCTTAACCAAACAACAAAACACTACAACTCTCCTTGTTTAATGCGACGAGTATGAAATACATTGGTGCAATATTGCTTATAAACATGATATCCGGATGGTACATGTAATAGAAACCATCAAAGAAGGCAAAATCACCCCAATAAAACCAGTACAGAGCGTTCGCAATCGGAGTTGTTTAATCCACACAGAGTGTTGAGCTGTGTCTGTTACGCGGCGCCATATTAGATTCCATTGTAATAGGTATGAGCGTCATGTCGTCTAGGTAACGCCAAACCAATCTTTCACAGAATATATTACTCCAGTGCACATCCTCAATCATCTCTTTGTGTATACATCCTCTCTCTCTCTCTCTCTCTCTCTCTCTCTCTCTCTCTCCCCCTGTGTGTGTGTGTGTGTCTCTCTCTCTTTCTCTCCCTCCCCCCTCTCTCTCTCTCTTATCTCACCCTCTCTATCTATCACTCTATATTTCTCTTCCTTTCTTTGACTCTCTCCTTCCAAATCGATGACGCTCCGGACCTTTCATATCTCCTTCTCTATCTATGTCTGTCCGTTTCTGTCTCTCCTCTCTGTATCTCCCCTCTTCTTTTCTCCTACTCTCCGTCCCGCCGTATCTCTCTCTATAATATCTTTCAGTATTTGCCTTTCCTTGCTCTCCCCTTCTCTCTCTCTCCCTTTCTCTCTCTCTCTTTCTCTTTATTTTTTTCTTCATTCTTTACCTCTCTATCTGTCTTTCTTTTCTTTTGTCCATCATTCTCCATCTTCCACTTTCTCCCTCTCTCCCTCTCTCTCCCTCTCTCACCCTTCCATCTGATATATAGTCCCTTATGCTCTATATTCTCTTTTTATATTTGTACTGAGTCAATTCTCTTTGTTGGACACACGCTTTGGTTTTGACAGTATTATCTGCTAACAGTGACAATGATAAACTCGTAATGATGTTACACCTATTGGGTTTATTTTACACTTTTTCAAATTTGTACTGCGTAAATTTTCGTTGTTGGACACACGCTTTGGTTTTGGCAGCATTATCTGCTGACAGAGGCAATGATAAACTCGTAATGATGTCAAACGTATTGGGCTTATTTCACTTTTTTTTTTAAATAACAAAGAAAATAAAATTAGTAGAAAACTTAAATGCCAAAATATCATGATCGCTTATCATTGATTGAATAAGGAATGTGCCTCTCGTGTATGTCTCTCTTTTCTGAGTGCGTTTCGTAAACCCACCTGCGGAAAAATTCAGATCTGACCAATAACCACATATTTGAATACAAATGATTTATTACAGGTTACATGTTAATAGTATGGTAGAAAAAAATCACTGTCACATAAAAAAGAAATCTTGAAGGAGCAATCGAATCTTGTTTCTGTATTTCTAGGATAAAGAAGACGTTTAGTTTGAGGATCCCTTCTCATCTCCCTTCACCCTTCACCACCCCTACCCCCGTGGGCTAAATAACTAATAGGAATCTGTTCCATTAACCTTTTCATTAAAAACGGTGGCAGGAGGCGGACCGAGGGAGAAATAAGCAATTCCCAAAACTCATTATAACTGTCCGATTTATTCTAGGCACAGCCTTTAATTACACCAAGATAAGATTTCGTCGCCCGAGTTCTCTAAATCTGACTTGATTCATATCATTCATTTTAATTCATAAATAGTTCCAAGGGGGACCGTGTGGGGGAAAGGGGGGGGGGGTCACATGCCCTATTTTTGGCGCTTTGTCACGCCCTTTTCTTTTATTGTTGCTTGTCAGATATATATTTTCATCAATCCCAAACTTATGATGACTAACTTTCTATGTATGCTTGTCAGAATGGGAATTAGACCCCCCCCCCCCCTTTACCAAGTTCTGGATCTGCTCGTGATAGAAGTTGTCTCGGAGGGAACAAGTCAGTGTGGTCTCACTGTTTTGGTATGTATAGCCATTGAACCTATTCTTTTGATTATTCATTGATTAAATAGTTTTCCTTGAATAAAATTTCCATGCTAGTCATGCTGGCGTTGGCACGGATTAGGAAGGGGAGCGGGGGGGGGGTGTACTTGTGCTCAATAACACGGCAAGGAAAAAATAAAGTTAAATATCAATACAAATAAGTAAGCTGATTAAAAGGGGAGGGGGCATTGAACAAAACCTACGGCCCCTTGCAACACCTAACCAATGTCTTTGTTGATATTGTTCATTTGTAGTTCATCTATCCAGTGAGCCTGACCGACCGACCGACCCCCACCCCCCACGATCCACGATGTCAGTGACCCCTTCAATGTCTGGACGTACGCTACGCCACTGAGTTACGAAGAGAACGGAGTCTCGAGAGTATTAAAATGAAAACAAGAAATAAATGAATTGTACAATTAAAAACCATATATTTCGACGAGGTTGCGAAGCCCGCCCCCCCCCCCCACTCCGAGAACGGACGGACCCCATGCGTGTTGCCAAAATGTCCTTTTCGTGACAAAAGAAAAAGGTCGACCCGTATTGACTTTACACACCGGACTTTTGCTGAAAGGGGGGGGGGGGGGGGGTGCTGAAAAAGGCTCGTATACAAAAGAAAAAGGTCGAGCCGTATTGACTTTACACACCGGACTTTTGCTGAAAGGGGGGGGGGGGGGGTCGGTTGGAACACGCATATGCGTACCCTAAATAACACTGAGTGGGGGGGGGGGCCGGGTTGCGAAGGAGGAAGAATTGTGGAATAATCAAATCGTAGTTGATATCCCTAAGCGTAACAGAACAGCCTTGCAATTAAATTTCCTTGTAACTTTCGGATTATCTACACTGCTCTACAGTGTAAAAGTACATACAAAACGTCTCAAATTATTGTTGAAATTAATCGAGTTTTCAAATGGTTTATTACTAAACCAGATACAGACCGTGTATACAGGCAGTCGTGCATGACCCCCCTCCCCCAAGCATAAACATTGCAAGTAGTATGCATATTTTATTGGCCTTAAAAAGGGGAGGGGCGTACCCCAGCTCATTCTCCTAAGCTCAAAACACTGTAAAAAATTTGTTTTGGTTGCTGTTAATTCATATAATTGCCACCATCTTCATGTGAGATGTGAGTTGGTCTAGCAGTAAGGTCAGCTTTCTGTCTTCGCATACAAACTGAGTCAGTGTACCCCGCTTCGAGATGGTGACATTAATGGTCGGTCCCCAGACGTAAATTATAATATCTGATTAATACACATCTGTGCAAAACCAAAATTACACACGGCATAATCACCCATTTTCAAAATTGGATAAAAACATCTGCGGGCAGAGCAAAACAGATTTAGCAAATGACAAACATTTCATTCCACTTATAAACACAAAAATGTCAACAAGGAAATCGGATTAAAGACATTTAGCGATGCTTTACACTTTAATTGGCATGCATTTAAAAGGATTTGCTTTGAAATAGAATCATTCTGAAGGGCATCGTTTGTGACAAATCTCTTGTATTCTTCTTTAAGTTAAATGCCTCCTTCACTGTATTGTAATTAGGTTTTCCGGGGAAGAAGGGAATAAAATGTTTGTTTGAATGGAATTGAATAATTGCAGGTATATTTATGCCTAGTAAGGACACCTTGTTTTGATCAGTTTATCCCCGGGGCATGTGGAGAAGATTGATGTTTATCGGAAATTACACTTACGAATAAATGGCGACCTTGGTGTCAAAGAAGGCACATAAGATCAGGGGAGTGTTTCACAAAGAGAAAGATCGACTTTAAGTTGGACTTACATATGGCAGGCCGTTCATGTCACCGTTTGCCCTCACCATTACGATCTTAGATAAAAAAAATTCTTCAATAATGATTTATCAAAATATATAAGTTCTGTAGTTTTGTGACCATGATTTGTACGTTCCTTGATAAACCAATGTCATGAATGGTTAAAGGAACTATTGGCATGAATGGCATGCCATCGTTAATTCCTACTTAAAGTCGATCTTAGGCTTTGTGAAACACCCCCCAGTTCTATATAGGAGGTGATCATGGCTGCATACTTACGAGACCCACAGCTCACAAGTAGCTTTCGACCCCAGGAATTTAAACCACGAGCGTATAGAAAGTTTTTCAACTGAGGATAATTAGTGAGTAAAATCCCAACTTTTCTATCTCAAAACCCATGCTGAAACTACTTGTTTGTTACTTCAGTCTCATCTATACATTGTGAAAAGCGAAATCGAATTCAACAAGCAGCCTTTCATGAGGATCACAGCTCTTTGATATGCACTGGAGCTTATCACGATGACCCTGGATCTATATTGTGTCTGTCTTCAACAATCTTAATTGCTTATTCACTGAGTTATATTCTTCTACATGATCACTATGACTACTGAAAGCTCTTATATTGTAACCAGGAGAATGGCAAAAGATAAGGCTTCTCTACTCAGTTCAGTCACTTCGAGTGTTTACTAGATCGCCAGCCCACCAGACTAACCTTTTCTCTTTAAATCTCCCTTTTCTCCTTCTGTTTTGTAGGTCGAGTGAGTCATTCTTTCTTTTCTTTAGTATTTTTCATATACATTTTATTTGCTTTGTCGGTCTCGTGGGCTGTTGGTAGCATGCACCTAATTATTTTCTATAAGTACCTTCTTATTAATTTCTTATTTTTGTCGTTCCCGTACATGGGCTGACAGGCCTTTTGTTCAGACTGGTGGCATGTCTTTTCGACCGGGATTACTCCGTGCCCATTCCCATTACTTATGGTTATTCTCAATTTTGCATCGTTTTATAATTATTCTTTCTGCAGAATGTTTTTGTTGTAAGCGCTTGTCGCTTAAATATAGAAAAACATGGCTACACCAAAGAAAGGGTTAGGCCCTTTTAGTAGATTTTGTCAGGCTAAACCATTTTCGTAATGCATCAATTAATACATAAATCATTGACAAGTGCGATGTTACAAATGCTTTTATTCGCCTGTTACAAATAATTGTATTGTAACGGTGCGAATTTCATATTTCAATTTCAAGGTAGGATAAACATTATTGCTTATTCCACCCAACAACACGAATTGTATGCAATTATTCGTAACAGGTGAATTAAATAATTTGTAACGAGTCGTTTGACGTAGATTTATGCATTACATTTGATTTCATTACGAAAATAGTCTATTGGAAGCACTTTCAATACGCGACCTTGCCGAAAATCTTTGTCCTCGCATGCCTGACTTGAATTATAAATAGAACTGTCTAGACTTCACGGTGGGCTCCCAACGCATCCAGATTCAAAGAACTGAAGTACTAAACATACTTAA